GGGGCGTTAGCATGCCGCGTAACAGGTGGTGCTGTTACTCGAGTGCTGGCACGTGCAGGAGGAGAGGCACCACACACCGTAGGTGGGGGGGCAGCAGGTGAGAGAACCAGGGGAGGGTACTGCGGACAGACAGTTGCAAGAAAACGTGGCTGCAAGCAACATCAGGTGACTTTCATGAAGTAATCTAGTCTAGGTCCCGAGTTTGTTATGTCGTCACAAAGAAGAGAATCTTACCTTGAGCTCGAAGCTTGCCGCTGGATCCGTCCTCGACTCGACGGCGTCCCACACGACGAACGCAATATCTGCGACGGATATCAAGCGCGGTTACAGAACGAAGGCGTGGTTAAGGGACAGAAAATAAGCGCTGTTATTGTAGCCTACCTGGTGTATGTCACCGCCCTTTTATTTAGTAAGCCGAGGAGCGGCACAGCGCCGCGAGTTTTTAACCACCTCCAAACAAAGTCATGACCGCCAAAAACGTGAAATTGACACGACTACAGTCAAAAAGCGACCACCGTATGGCAATACCGCCCGACAAGTACCTGCACGAGCGTGATCGACGGGCTGAGTCGGCAGAGGCATCGGCTGGTCGACTTTACGTAGTCCATGCAGGCAAAATTGTGTGTAATAATGAGTCCCTGCGGCTGGCACTTTTGCTTTTATGTTTTACCGCCCCGTATGTGTCCACCTACAGTACAAACCCGTTGCCGATAACATTTCTCCTCCCTACACAGGTTTCACGCCGGGACTGGAATTGCGACATTGCGACCGACCGTCGAACGTTCGTTGATGTTGCCGCGAGTGTGTGGCCCTTTCGGCAAGCCCTTTCTCAGCGTTCCGTTTCCGCGACCAGAAGTTGGGGTGAAAGTTCAAGTTACCACGGCGGCAAATCGACCGCAGTCGGTTTTAACCACTTGTGGGCCTACAATGTACCTCTTTTTTTTTTGCGGCAAAAAAAAAAAGGCAGGAGAGAGTTCGGGGAGAGACAGAAGTACAGCAGCAGAGAGAAGACGAAGTACCCCTTTTGGCTGTCCTCCTGTCTTCGCTTTAGTGACTTCCTAGATTCGGGCGAGGGCGTGTATGAGGAGCTATTGATGTGTGTCTCTGTGAAAGGATATGGGGAGAGATTCATGGTGGTATTCGCATTTAGAGCAGTGTGCATTTTTGTAATTTTGGCCCTTCCAGGGACCAAGGGGGATGATCGCACCACGTTGTGTTAAAATGGTCAAGCACCCCCGAGGCAGTTACACAGCAGTGACTACAACTGTCTCAGGAAGTGAAAGCACCAGAAAACATATTAAGTCATACGCAGCTGTCATCCGTACGCAAGGAAGTAAGCACAAGATGCCGAAAACCCTCGGCAGGATGCAGCGCACCCTTAATGCGACTCGCCGAATATCTCACGGCGCTTCGCGCTTGGTGATGTGAGAGCCTGGTCCGGTGAGAACCCGGCGTGCTCCGTCCCGGCTTTGTAGGGATGCGAGGTCAATGGTCTAACGNGCCCCCAGGGACCTTGATATTTCCCGCTGACACTAACGTCTTTCCACTGGCCACCGGGTAGCGCGGTCGATGCGAATAATAAAGACACACCTAAATCTTGACTTGCCAACACCTGGCGTGGAGGGATACAGGGCGGCAACTCCATGGCATGCCACAACACCAGCATTTACAAATGATCAATCAATGATCTGTCAGGACGCCTGTAGACCCAAAAGGGTTAATATTTCAAAGTGCACATGCTCACAAAGGTAAAACAATCTGCAATTGTACCCGCTACCTGCTCGAGACGCAGTGTGGTACGCTTTGGCAGGCATCTTTTCTTCTGATCGTCGTTACAGAAGCATACGGATGCGCGCGAAACAGGAAAGACAGGGCTGGCAACCTCACATGCAAGGAACGCTAGGATCAGGCTGATCCAAATGATGGTAGCCTTTCTTCGGTGTCTCTTGATCACCGTCCGCGGCAACCTGCAGCAGCAAAGGGGATGTGGCAATCAATTGCATGCACGTTCGACTCTCAGCCCTCTTCGGGGAAAGAGTGTAGGAAAAAGAGTATGCAGGCCGTCGTGTCTTGCTGGGAACGAACCTCAACCGACGAAGAATTGCTTGCTGCGGGTGCATCTGCCACACCATCAACGCATACATACAGCAGTGAATCATCAACCTGTACATACTGTGAAGCATCAGCACTCACCAGAGGCTTGCTGGTGATGCCAACCTGTCCTCTACCTCCTCGGCCTTCTCTTGGTGCTCAGTGCCGCGTGGTTGTGTCCACGGAACGGCGCTACATGTGGAAGACATGGTCTGAACAAGAACGAACGCGTGTATTCGATCACACACGCACACGCGCACTCGGCCCCTGTCTGCAGTACAAAAGGGGTACACCTGCACAACTGCGGAGAGAGTACGGCAGAAGGGCCAGTCTTACCCACAGACTCGGGAGGAAGCAGCACACAAGGCAACACCGAATCAAGTCAGCCACTAACATCGCTCAAGGTCCCCCACCACTTACAGCACGAGGACACGGAACCCCGAGTGCCCTTCTTGTGGAAATTTCGAACGGTCTTGAGAAAATTCCCAGAGAACAATAAAAACAAGGTCTCCTCATGTTGATGGGATTACACGTACGTAGTCCCACAACAACAATGGACAACAACGCCCGATCATGATAAGGTAGTGTGCGTGAACATCGAGGCGAGTCGGGAGCAGGGGGAACTCTCTCTCACGTATCTAAACTTCACATAAATAGCCTCCTCGAATATTCTGTGGGGAAGGAACATATCCCGCCGTATAATTGGGCTACAGATGAATCCAACATTCGGAACGAAACATGGAGGAAGGCGTCAGCAGGAAACATCAATAAATACAAACACAGAAGACAACCCATTCGAGATATGATCACAGTCTAAGGGGATGTGTTGAAGTCTTCACAGTGAACGGAGGGAAACCGGCTGGGTACTGGGCTTATTTGGAGTCTATGCACTGAAAAAAAATCAGTCAGTGATGCCAGCAGGTGCTCTCACAAAATCACTGCTGTACATAATAATACCACAAGACACCTCCCCTGTAGTGTTCTCTACCTACGGGGTCAACGACAAAAATATCGGGGAGAAGCCCTCCGTTATGTCGATATAAGCACACAGTTGATCATTCTCTCTTCTCCCTACCTTGACTACGAGAAAATACAAAGGAAAGTCAATTTTCGGGATGCCAGGTACGCGAGCGAACCCATCCCCCGCGCCGGCGCCGGCATGCGCCGCGGCGCCCGCGGCCGCTACAGCACCCGCGCGGCCGCCGCAGCACCCGCGGCAGCCGCCGCACCGTAAGCCGTCACATCGATGCCGGCTGCTCACCGGATTCCCCGAAATCATAACCGACGTACTGTTGCCTGTAGGGTATACGCTTCGGAGCTCGTGCCGTCACCTCACGCTGCGGGTCGATGGGGTAAACGTATCTTTGCCGCCCGTTGCAATTCTTCCCGCGCGATTCGTAGGTAGACGCCGATGCGTGGCTCCAACACCTCGATCGCCGTCAGGCTCGAGTGCGGTCGGTCTTCCCCTCAACACCTCATCCTCCAGACGATGAACGCGCGTGGGCGCAAGCGGCGGCACCAGCTGCCACTGAAAACCCCGAGTGGGACGACGTCCTACGCATAGTCTATACGGTACCGGGAGCTTGCCGCGGATGCCGTGGCACGCTCCTATTTGGGACGCCGGCGACGGCGGAGTGCGGTTTGTCCCGGGCTTGCCATTTTCCATGGATACCGTCGCGCGGGTAGCAAACGTCGCCGAGCGCGGCTGCTTTATTACCTGGCTCGATTATTCGTGCGCGTTCCACCATATTCTGATTCGGCCGTCGTCTTGGCCGCTACTGGGCTTCGAGTATGGAGGGGTGGACTACATTCGGTGCGTCCTCCCTTTCGGTCTTAGCATCAGCCCGTTTGTTTACCACACCCTCAGTGAGGCGAAGGGGGCCTTCCCCCGCTCCTTGGGGATCCCGGCGTTAGCTTACCTGGACGACTCCTTCCTCACCAACCGCTCCTCCACTGCCGGGGAGCGCGGGAGCAATGACTCGCGGCATGCGAGGCGACCCATATCTCCGTCTTGGTTTTTTACTTTTGTGGCAACTTTCTGTCACCGGAAAAGTGTGACTGGCGACCGACGACCGTCCAAAAATACCTGGGCATGCTGTGTGACTCCACCACAGCCACCTTCCGAGTGCCACAAGACAAGCTCGACGCGGTGCATCGCATTCTCCGGGACGCCGTGGCCGCCGGTAGCTTCTCCTTTCGGACGCTTCAACGCGTCGTCGGCAAGGTCACAGTATGGCGGTAGCGATTCGGCCTGCTTCGCTGTATACCCAGGCTATGTTCACCGCGCTGGCAGCTCTCGAACCGTCCCACCGGTGGGCCGTGGACCTTTCCCTCGATCCAAGCGCAGACTTGGTTGGTGAAATGCGCCAATGGCTCCGCAGTACGGCGACCACACACGAGGGACTGTAGCAGCTCGCGCGGCACTTCACCGCCGCCATCACCAACGGGGCGTCGGGCGCTTCGTCGTTGGCGTGGGGAGGTGTCTTGTACGCGGCCGCTGACTCGTTCGAAGCGGGGGGCGTGTTTCCCCCGGATTGGCTATCCAAACACATCAACCAGAAGGAAATGTACGCGCTGTACCACCTCCTACTACAGTTCTGCCAACGACACCCGGATCGGCTTCGCCGTGCCCAAGTCGTCATCGACGTCGACAACCAGTCGCTCGTCGGCTCGTTCAACAGTGGACGGGCCAAGAACCGCGCCATGCAAGACTTGCTTATCCACTTGTTTGACCTCCAGGTAGAACATGAGTTTTTGATGTCCCTTACGTGGGTCCCTGCGGCCGGGGACGGGGTGGCGGATGCCATCTCTCGACCATCGCGGGACACCATCATCCGGTTGCAGCCCGATGCGTTCAGGACGATGAGGGAGGGGTTTGGTCCCTTGAACATCGACCTCATGGCATGCACGGCGTCAGCGCAGCACTCGCCTCGGTGCGGAGTAGCCCTTCCTTTCTTTTCGCGGTATCACTGCGCCGGGTCGGCCGGGGTAGATGTGTTTGCACAAGATTTGGCGGTTTTACCGGGCGGCGCGGGGCCGGCGTTTGGTTTCTGTTTCCCCCCTCCGGTCATGGCTGGGCACGTTGTCCAACACCTGGTGGAATGTCGAGCGCGGACGGTGGGCATTAAGGGATACTGGTTTCCTCGCGTGCTCTTAGCATCTACCCGTTCCGTGGAGGTTGCCAGCGTTAATGAGAGTGGTGTGTTTGTGTGGCCCTCGGCAGAGGGCACGCTTCGACTGTGGTGGTACCCCCCCTGGGCGATGGTGGCGTATGATGTAGATTTTCGTCGAAGATCACGTGGCTTGGCTATACTTTGTGGCCGGTCGACGTACGAAATAGAGTTTGGTCAGTCATAACGCTGATTGGTGAAACATTGTGGCCGGTCCACAGCCTCCCCACATCCGTTTCATGGTCTCGTCTTTGTAGTTGCAGAATACACACGCGGTTGGGGCCGATTTTGTCCGAGCCCTAGTGCGGTTCCCGCGGTGCTCGAAATGCAACCAGGAGAATGTTGCCCAATACAACTTCTGTTGGGACTGTGGTACCCCACCGGCTGGTTCCGCGCCCTACCCGGGCCTCCGCCCGGGGGCGTCGGTCGTCATCGACCGGCCTAAACTGCGCGCGCGCCGATCGCAGATGGAGACCGCCATGCGGGGACGCGCCGGCGAGGTCCGCAAGCACAGAGTTGCCGATGATTTCGGCTGCTTTCTGCGTGCGTATTCGGACGGACACCGTGAGTGGGCCAATGCTTGGTTTAGCTTCCTCGATTCGCAAGGGAAAGGGACGAAGCTGGTGCACGATATCGCGTGCGCGGGGGTGGGGTCGCCCGATCGACGGGGCTGTTCCCCGGGAACCACGTGCTCGAAGCGATACGCTGCCGAGTCCCTTCGCAAGAATTTCTTTTCTAAGTTGAAAAAGGCGTATAAAGAGCTGTTGGGCAGCGGGGATGACTGGAACCCCACGTCGGGATTGGGCAACCCATGCAACTCCCCCGCGGTGGACGCGTACCTCACTTTCACAGCCGAGGAGCAGAAGCGCGTCGGGGTGACTACCAAGCAGGCAGCACCGCTGTTGGAGGACACCCTCGGCGACCTGCCGCCGCATACGCGCTTGCGAGCCCTGGCGGCCGGTACGGCGGTCGAACGCATCACTATCACGCAGGACATGGCCCTGTTTGCGCTCGCGCACAACACCATGCGCCGGGGATGCGACCTCTCGTTTACGCTGGGGTCACAGGTGCTCCGGCTGCCGGAGTCGGGAGGCTTCGTGTTCAATATCTTGTTTGGCAAGACCTTGCGGTCTTCAACCGAAGCAGTAGTAGTGCGGGCTAGCGCTAGTAGCACTAGCCAGGACACTTGTGCAGTCCGCGCCGTCGCGGAATACATCGATGCCGCCCGCACTTAAGAACCTCTAGTTTCGGCCGAGGCTGGGGTGCTTCTTCGCTGATCATCCTCTTGTGGGCTACAAATGGCCGCAATATAGGTTTTAGTGTACGGGTTCTTAACTGGGCTCACAAATGGTGCTCCAGTTCTTAGCTTATGATTTTTTCGAGTCTCAATTTCTTAACTGCTAAGTTCTTGAGTGCGGGCGCTATCTGTATATCGATGCCGCCCAAGCGGTGGGATGGGATTTGTCGGCTGGTTATCTGTTCTCGCCGGTGCTGGACGACGGGAGCTGCGGACCGGCAAAAATCACGGCACCCCTCATGACATCGGCCCTCCAGGCGCACCTGCGAGCGGCTGACCTGACCACCCAGTTTATCATGCGTTCTTCCAGAGTCCGGGGGGGCGTTGAGGAGGTCCATGGGCGGTGCCGCGATGGAGGAGGTTGGAGGCTGGAAAACGGAGTCCCTGGCGAAGAACTACGTTGAACCATCCTCTGCTCGGGAGCGGGCGGTCAACTACACGGCCACCAACGAGGCGTCGCTGTCTCCGGTCTTTGAAGCAGACTTTGCAGCGTGTGCCCGCCGTAGGGCGCGTTTATATTACGACTCGAATTCACGAAAGTTTGGGTGATTCATCCAGGCTCCAGGTCAGTAGTCAAGCAGAAGACTCAAAACAGGAAAGATTGGGTGGGACCACAGGCCGGAGCTGGAGGCCTTATCCAAAATCCTATACTTTCATTAAATGATCCTGGGCTAAGAGCAAAATTCAACAGTATAAATGGGCCACAGATGGATCAAAGATTCGGAACGAAATATGAAGGCGTCAGCCCTGGAAAAATGTTGGTATAAGCACACGGCTGATCCCTCTCTTTTCTCCCTGCCTAGATTACGAGAAAACGCCAGGTAGGATTGGATCATGTACAGATTCATTGCCGCACCAACTGCCGTCGGTGCGGCAGTGCATCCGTGGGACCGCTAGCCTTGGAGCTGGAGGCCTCATCCAAAATCCAATACTTTCATGAAATGATCCTAAATAGGCTAAGAGCAAAATACAACAGGTTTTACATCGTGTTCCGCAGCAGGATATCGTGAGAATGTTGGGGAAAGGATTTATTATTAAGAATATCCTCCCGGCGGCTGCTGCGTTGGTATGTACCCTCGACCCATAGGCCGCCTGGCGATAGTTTACACCACTGCAGCATAATCCCTTGTTGGGGCAACGCTCGCTGCTTGTTTCTTCGGTGAGCACCAACCGAGAATGTCTACAGTACTTCCGTGTAATTGTGCTTGTTGTTGTCCCGGAGTTTCAAGAACAAAAAAAACGCCGTTCTTGTCGTTGCTCAGGTACTTGCCAACATCTACCGGTCCAACTGACACGGACAGACGCCTTTCGTCATCAGGCCAGCTATCCAGAAAAGGGCACACACTCCCGATTCACAGAAATATGGTTCACTGTTTTTTCCCGACTATCTACTATCCGGTCTGCAAGAACATGCACAACAAGTAGTTCACGCTCCTGATTTACCTCTCGCGGGCGACAAACATGTCGTCATTCAGAGACCGTCCAGCATGTTCTAGACAGACCGCGAAACCTTGTCGCTCTACAGGGACTCCATAAAAAAGTGCGGTGAGAGATCTACCACGCGCATGCACCGGGTGCTGGTTCATCGTTCCAGAGAGCTCCACCGGCTGACTAAATCTGATCCTTACAACATTTGCTGTGGTCTTAGAAGTCGAGGCCTGGCCATGTGAAAAACGCAACAACAGTAAACACGGCTATCGGCCTAATGCTCCAAACCTCTAAGCTATTGAACCGCTGAGAGTAGGTACGAGTGCACCGGAGATTCTCTACGGTACCATGAGGAAACACCGCACTCCATCAAACGGAGGCAGGCCGTTCCCCCACACCGCCCGCGATGTCGTGAACCGCTTGCATGGCCTCAAGGCACAGGGCGTCAGCGGCCTCTCGGGTGTCAGCCTCGGCGTAGACGCGCACGACGTCTTCCGTTCCTGACGGCCGCACGAAGCACCTTGACGACATGCCGCACACGATGAGTAGGGAGTTGGTAGCACACGGGAGATTTGCACGGAGAGATTTAAGGAGGAGGCTGGTGTGGCGGGAGGCCATCGTACGCAGAAAGGCAATGGAGAGGCTGATGTGGCAGGAACATAGTGTACGTCTCATGCTAACAACGTTCGCCATGCTCGACGGCGAGGCACAAAACCTCTCGGTAAGTCCCGAAACAAGAGCAGCGGACGAACGAGATGCAAAGATGCATGAGCTTGAGCAGCTTGACGCAGTGCGCTCAGCATATTGAATGACGGTCACGGCAAGGGGGAATTCGAATTCAGTGACATACCTACCTACCTTCGCTGAAGGTGCCAACGCGGCAACTTTCCTCCAGAACGAGGTGGATTGCCGGACTCTGTTGAGATAACTTTTTGTGTGTATGCCGTCTGTCAAGCAAACCACCAACTTTTTCTCAACAGACTATGCGAACACAACACATACTGACTGTGCCGCAGACACTCAGGGAAGGGACGTGCTGACAAAATGCCGCAGTATCCGTACATTCTCGAGCCCAACACAGCAGTGGGGGCCGGAGATGCTGAGGACTCTACTGTTAAGCGTTGAAGCCACAGCTTCAATGCGCAAAGAGCACAATTACACACCGTGACAAGCTAGGGATCCGAATGCAGAGACTCTCGCCGCGTAGAAACCAATCGATTTGATCCGCACAGGAAGCTTACATCCCCTCATCTTCAGCGTTGCTTGCCAGCTTGGAGATGTTACAAGCGACGGCACACCCCGGAGCCAAGGGCGTACATACGTAGCTCACCTGCCGTTGGGGGTGGTAGCCATGGCCTTGTCGAGGGCGGCCTGAAGCCCGGGGGGGCGGAGTGCGCTGGTTTCGTCTGGGCTGCAGGTGATGATGGAGCGGTCTGCCACCGCGGTCTTGGCCTGGCGGCTGGGGAGATCCGCGTACAACGCCGCCCAGTCCTGCCGAACCCCCCATTTCGAAGCCAGAGTCAAACGAACAACACGGGAGAAACAAAAGGAGTATACAATCGTACAAGAACAAAAAAAATCGATAGCGCGTACAGGTTGGACTCTTTATCTTCGTAACAGCTCGTCAATATGCAGCGCGAGCGAATTCGATGTCGCGTCCTATTCACCCACGATGCTGCACACATAGCACCAGCTTTGTGACAAGTCCATGATGCACCATGCCGGACTAGTCTGTTCTCTGCTAAAGCCACGCCGGAGGCTTCCCCAACCAATGCAAGGAAGAAAATAAAGCAGGTATAGCACCCCTCGTTGTTTGTATATATAGCCAGTCACCTTGCAGCTCCACCCCTTGAGGCGAAGCACCGCCTCGCAAAACAGCAGGTCGCTCAGAGCGTCTCCAACGGCCTGGTTGATGAGCGTCGCCGAGGACAGCAGCCGGCGGACAGACTGCTCCATCGCCGCGTCACTAGAGCTCGTCTGAGGACCCCGCAAAAGACACAACCACCCCAAAAAGAAATCAACGACAACAAGCGGGTGCAACGCATGGTAAGCAGGGGAGCCGAAAAAAACGATCAATAAGTTTCACACACGCACGTCTTGCTATCACCTTCCTTGCTTGGAAATGTGCAACCCCTCCTGCCAAAAAACTATAGTAGGGTTCGTTCGGATTGTCCCGGGTATGGTGCGCCATCAACAATAACGACGTTGTATAACACCTCATGTGGCATTCGTTTCGATCAGAAAATCTAAAATGGCGGCGGCAGCATCAGTGACAACAACGACGACGACGAAAGAAAAAATAAAAACAACAACGACGGCGACGACACCATACCTTCTGCATGTCGACGAGGCGAGCCAAGACCTTGTCTTTGAAGAGGACAGTTCCATGACCGTTCGCTTCGAAGTAAACCCCCACGTCGTACTTCTCCGCCTCGTGGTGTACGAATTTCACCCCCGTCTTCGCGATCGCCACGGGGACCCCCTGCGCCTTGAGATACCTGAAACAAGAGGCCCACAAATGCGGTCCAACTACAATTAGAGCAGTTGTCAACACTATGGTCGAGCGTCAAATGCGGCGTTCCGTGCGCACGTATATGAATCACGGATCTATAAAAAATTACAGAGCAGCAGCTATGAACAACAAACCAGGCCTGAAGAGATCGAAATAACTCCGAACAGACCGTTTCTGGACCGACTGTGAACAGTCCTGGACATGTCTGAGCTCGTGTGCGACAAAACGCTAGGGGCGGGGCACCTTGTCTTGGAAGGCGAGACCGATGCCACAACAAGATACCGTTTCCCTCACGCCGATTTCGTAGCCCGATTACTCCACATCAATCCGGGTGACAAGACAGTACCCATCGATACCATATATTTGGAAGATACGATGACACCTTCCCAGTGTCACCCTGTGCAAAAAAAAATGACCTTTGCAAATCAGTGTGGGGGTACGTCATGTGGTATTCCGCACTCCGAAACTAAACGCCCACGTATGTAGACACCTTCAACATCCTGCGGGCAGGTACGGCACAATACTCACTGGGTCGATCCCCCGTTAGCATAGGCAGTCTGGACCACGGACATCGAAAACTCCTGCTCGAAAGGCAGACCCAAGGCAAGGCAAGGGCGGCCAGGCACAGCAGTCCAAGAGAAGGCCAAGATGGATGCAAATAGTACACATGGAATAACAGGCCGGGGGAGTGCATTGGTGTCCCTATTCCCAGGAAGTACAGAACAAACTTGAGGGCCCTCCCTGTCCTCAGTTTCGTAGAGCTCAAAATTGAAAGAAGCTCTCCTGATTTTTACTTCTCGTTTCGTTGAAATCAAAAACATGCTCATCCCTCACTCCCGAGAATGCCGATGTGTTAACGTGACCCCCAACAAATATCGGAAAAATAAGGCGTCCCGATATAATGGGGTTGAAGGCATTTGACAGCGGCTTTTCAACCTTGACCTTCTCTTCCAAGTATTTGGAGGCTCGGCTACAAGAGGGAGTTTCACCTGGTGTCGAGAAAGGCGGTGGCACCCTAGTTATGGGAACACTCGTCAAAAAAATGCTGAGAAAGACCAATGGTCACGAAACGAAGATATTACAAAAACAAAGAACGCTCCAATCTATTCTCGCTCAGGTTCACGTTCTGTTCTTAAAATCGGGTAAACAACAAAATGCAGCATAGTCAGGGTATACCTTGTCCAGACCGAGCTTTGCCAGCTCCTCGTGGATGAAGGCAGCGCACAGCGCGGCGATCTTGTCCCCGTCTAGGAGAACCCATTTGCCACTAACGGACAAAAGAATGGCGCATCAGAGGCAACAAGGAAAAAATCACCATCAGAGATCACTGCAGTAGTAGCGCAGTGAGAACATACTGTCAGGGAACGGGATGCCCTAACACTGAACAAAAAAGGCTCGCCAAAGGCACCAGAAAAAAACACTTCGCTACGAGAGACCACTCTTGTAGCAAAGAGGTGATGTCTTGTCAGGGAACTAGGAGAACAAAGGAGCATCTAGTCGTCGTTAGGAAGAAACTTGATTCACACTCGGCGACAGGGTCCAGCACCAACTCTCTTCCTGCTGCTGTTCGGCCCCCCGGGCAACAACCAAATGATTAAACGTTTCTGAAAACAACCGCACAATCAAAGACCTAAACCCGTGTTGAACATGGGATGTACAACCCGGTTCACGCACGAAAAACTGGGCTCGAAAACAAAACAAATCCCACACCCCTTCCCCAACCCGGAAGCTCGTGTCGAATAGGTGATGCACAACCCGGTTCTCGAACGAATCTCCACGGGATTTGAGCTCTCTTGAGTCACTGAAAATTCCAATGCATAACATACCGTGGAAGAAAATGGATAACAACTCACGTGTCGTCGAAGAAGTGGTACACAAGTCGGTCCGCGTCTCCGTCGAAGCTGCACAGACGCTTGCCGGTGTCGTTCGCCGCAGATACCCCGGAAGGCGGGACTCCTTTCTACGAGAGCGAGAGAAGAAAATAATGCAGCGGAAACAAAGAAAAAAAAAAAAGCAGCGCCAAAAGTCCCCGCGATTTGTCAGCATTCAATACCGCAGCAGCAAGCATTCCGCACCAGACACGCTCCTCTTGCAAACAACAACACACGCACCCTCAACAATTCCCGCCTCCAAAATGGCGAACGCGACGGATGTGGGCCAAAAAGGGTGCCACCGCGTGGCATCGGTACAAACCATCTCGAAAATGTAGTCCCACAAGTCGCCACGAAGATTGAGAAGGAAAGCACCCTGGACTCCAAGGTAGGCAGGTGATCTCGTGAGCAATGGCTGATCAATATGAAGACAAGACAAATCTTGTCACGTACTTGTAGAGGAGAAAAAATTCACCGCGACCGTCGGAGAAAATGCAAAGGTGCGGGCGAGTTTCATGGAACTCTGGGCGAAAATTCGACCGAGTTGTCCGGTTCATAGTTTTTCGCCTCGGGTGGGTTCTCTCAGATACTTGCAAAACCGCCGACACGTGCCATCTTCCCTATTCCTGAGAGGTTTAAATGTAAACTTGGCACACGGGCGTTCTTTTTTCCTTCGGGCAACGGGAAAAAGACGTCCACGAGCGAAAATAATAAAATAAGGGGGCACAGCATTCTTTAAATATTTTTGTTGGTTTTGGGGAGGAAATATATGAAGAAGTCAAATTTAATTTGCTTGATTTTCTTATGCATGCAGATTTTTTACTACATCGTCGACACGAGCAGACAGGGCGCATCTGCTGCACCAGTAATTGTCTATTTTTCGCAAGATAGACAACAGTTCAGAACTCATGTAGCGGGCTAGGCGATGCATGCTCTTCTGCTTCGGCAAATGCATATGTGCAACTCTCGCGCGTGAACATCTCGCTGCTCTCCTTTTTGGAGATAACCGCTGATTGTGCAAAAAAGTACAGTAGGGGGCCCTCAATAACGCCGGAATGTGCCCAGCGCATCGACCAGCATTATTCAGAGCGACCGGCGCTATTTTCCGTCCTTTATCATGCTTTTTGTGCTCCGCGTGGCAACAAAAGAGACTTAGAAAGCAAAGGAAATACATCCTCCCCGGGGGGAACTCGTGGGAAAAATGGTACCCCGAGGGATTATTGACGTACCCGGGGGGATCTTTTTTTTTTTTGGTCGAAAACTACCCCAGGGCCAAATCAACGACCTCATGCTTCCAGGCCAAAATAGTAATGGGGGGGGTGGGGAACTCTAACCCGGGGGGAAAACTCCGTAGTTTATTTTATGTTCCTGGACTGCGTCGAGGTATTGTGCTAACCAAATGATCCTCTAGAAAGGCGGCAGCATGCTGATCATCCTGCCGCACAAATGGGCGCTGTGCAGCCGGAAAAGTTGCTGCTGCAGAGAGGTCTCTGCGACAGCGAAATGACGACACAATTGCACCCAGTGTACCATTGAATGGAAAAAGTAAATTAGATGTGGACGAGAAAGGTGCAACAGCACTTCCGCCTTGCCAGCTTTGGCTAGACACGGACTGCAGATGGGCGCATTTCGTTGTCGTCTGCGATGCTTCCACAAATGCCGTGGAGCCGCCCGCCACATCCTTCCTGACAGCGTTGCCCATGAGGGGGTTCTGGCCAAGTGTCGGGCGACTTGCACAATTCACCTTCCGCACATGGCATGGTGCGCCTCTACGCAAAGCTGTAGGGTCTGCAGATGCACGTGGTGTGTGGTTTGTGTGTGCGAAAAAAAACAAACAAACGGCGCTATTGTGGGGTGCAGAGGTGCCCAAACCGGCGTTATTGCGGGCCGCCCTCAATAACGCCGATGTGGCGCTATTGCGGGCTCTGGCTGTGCCGCACCTACATGTATGTCTCGCTACGAAAAAAACGGAAAAAGTGAAGGAAAAAGAAGACGTCAGCGGCAGGATTTGAACCTGCGCGTGAAATCACAATGGGTTTCGAATCCATCCCCTTAACCACTCGGGCACGCTGACTGGTTATGGGCTATATAAATCCTACCTTTCTTAATCAAGGTATCCATGGTTTTAGTCAGTCACGCGAATGGATTGGCATCTCCCACAGAAGCGGTGGTGTTGTTTGGGGAAGCATTGTAACGAATGGGGAAGAAAATGATTTCTCAGGTTTTTCTTAACGGGTCCTCGAAAAAGCCAAACATTCGGATTTCCCGACAAGTACTTTCGATACTTGCTTCAAAACCGCCACGGTGGTGCTTGCCCTACGAAAAACCAACTCGATTGGAGCAAAATCATGCCAATATACCACACCTTTTTCCAATATACCACACCTTTTTTTTTTAGAGCAAATGTGAGAAACAACAACAACAAACAAACCACACCGCTACGCTGCGGAGGGGGGGCGACCCCGACGACGAAGTCGTAAGGACTTCACCCCACGACCCATTCTGCAGGGAGCATCTTCCACTTTGGTTTCCTGACTTCCCCCAACCACTTCGTCCACGCAAATAGAACTGGGTGCACGAGCTGGCGCCGTCAAGCATTAGGGGTGCGGGTCTTTCGTATGACGGAAGATACCACCCCCTCGAAAAATCTAAAGTTCCACCCGACAGCGACAAGGAGTGGGGTGCCAGAATCATTAAAAAGAGAAAACTGTTCCAACTGAAAGGTGCGTCCACTGGTATGCGACATGTCGTTTCACACCACTGGTATGGGCTATAGGTGGATCTTTCGATCAGGGCAGGATTGGGGCGACAACTCGTTTCGCCAAAATGAATTGTTTTTTAGTGTTGGGTCACATGCGTTCGATGTGCGGTGACCATTTGCGCATCATACCGGATTAGAGCTAGAGGTTTGATCACGGAAGGGCTCACGACAACCCGGCGCAGCCGCGTTGCGCCTTTTACTAACACAAAACCGCCTTTTACTAACACAAAACCGCCTTTTACACAACAGAAACACTAAATAGCAAGCGTGAGCGTGCCCAGAGCTTCAATATACTGCTGTGAATCGATAGCTTCCAAACAGTACACATTTTGAATCCCTACACACAACAATATTTTCCTGCAAACCAAAGGTAAGGTGGGTTGTGGTGTGAGTACCACGTTACTATACATAATTCATGGTCCACGTTACAATAATAATTCACGGTGCACCTGTCAGGTGTCAGGGGGACCCCGTGGACTACATTCAACAGGACCCCGTAAGTTGTTACTCCTTCCGTACGTTCCTCGCCGTCTCATAAGTCAGCGCGAGCGATCAGACGGGGCTTCAAGGTATATACTGCTGTTTAGGGTCAACACAATTGTACCTCTAGTAAAGACCGTGTCGTTTCGGGGTATTGTCGGGGTATTGTTCCCCACCACAGCCTTTCCTCACCGTGCGTTCGCGTTCTTACACCCGTGTGGGATTCTCCTCGCCAACGCGCAGGTTACATGGGGTTTGTTTCAAGGCTCAACTCTCACAAGAGAAAAGTGAGGGTAAGGGTTTGAAGACTCGATCTGGTCAGGCTACCATGGCCACAATGTTGTTGTTCCCTCTGACTATTTATATTATTATAGCATAAGGCTCGACGAAAAAATACCCCGAGAACAACTTGTGGGACGCAAACGCAATGCGCATGGGTACACATGGGTATGTGTGTGGGTGCATTGTTGTGTTTTCATTTCCAAATTGTACCCTTGCTAGTTTCCAGTGTTGGACGCCATGCGTAAACGACTACAAAATATCAACATCCTGGAGAATACCCTCTTACGAAGTGTGGCCAGTTTCGACGCTGTGGCTCTGGTTGCCGTGGCCGACTGCGGGTAGGCGAGAGCGCGTGCTCGTCGAGAATCAACCTTCCACAACAGGTCGTGGTTGACCTGTTGTGGAATCAACATCGTAAACCAAGCTACCGGCGGCCTCTCGCGCGAGGCTCAGAGTGGTGGCCGGCTGGTTCTGTGTTCAGAACTTTTATCCAGCACGCCTACGAATGAAAAACGTTCAGCTGCCCCAAAGGAGAATTTGGCAGCGCACCCACCTGTAGTTGTCGGGAACAATTTCTTGAACAATTTTTTATCCTACCGTAACTGTATGGATTTCCACACATGCGTTTGCGCACAAGACATAAAATAATGCCAGAATAAACAGTTTCACCGCGGTCTGCGTCAAAACCGGGATTGCGCTCCTAGCAGATCGCCTAGACGCGTATACACACCCAAAGCACCCAAACAAAAAAACGTTTTGTACATCTGGGCTACGTCGTCACCCGCGCAGAAGAAAAAATGTGCCCAAAATCGAACACGCGGAGAATGACCTGCTACACTGTTTTGCACACCGGTCAGAACACTTCGTACAAGCGCGAGGGCAACCACAACAAACAACAGCAGCAACGACCACAACGACAAGAACAGAAGCAAACCGGCAAGTTGGAGCAACGCACCTTCTGCGCCCACTCAGCCCCGCAGCCCTCGTTCAACTGCCCCGCGCCCACGCGGTTCCGCACCTCCACCTCTAGCCGTCCCCCCGGCATCTCTTCCGCCAACACCTAATACGTAAAAAAAAAAAAAAGAAAGAAAAAAAAGTTAACCGACACCAAACATGCAAGAAACACACGCGCGCGCACAAAGGCTGTGGGTCCGAGGGCGCAGTACGAGAAGAGACCTCCAAGAGTGGTGTGCCCCTAGAGAAATGAGAAGGACTGCGACACTGCGACCTCGGGGGGAGGGGGGGGGCAACGCCGACCATAAAAATGGGGG